AAGCAATGAAAAAATGAAGAAAAGAAATGAAAGAAATGGAAAGAAAGAAAGAAAGAAAGAAAAGAAAAAAAAGAAATAAAATAAAGAAAAGAATGAGTCAAGGAAATGAAAAAACGGATATGGATAAAATAAATAAGAAAAAGAAAAGAAAAAAGAAAGAAAGAAAGAAAGAAAAAAAAAGAAAGAAACAAAGAAAAAGAAATGAAGAAAAACGAAAAGAAAATGAAAAAGAAAGAATGAAAAAAAATAGATAGCTAATAAAATAAATAAGCAATGAAAAGAAAGAAAAAAAGAATACAAAACAGATGGAAAAGAAAGAAAAAAGAAAAAAAAGAAAAAGAAAGAAAAGAAAGAAAGAAAAAAAGAGAAAAAACGAAATAAATAAAATAAATAAGCAATGAAAGAAAAGAAAGAAAACAAGATGGATGAAAAAAGAAAAGAAAGAAAACAAAGAAAAGAAAGAAAGAAAAAAGAAAGAAAGAAAAAAGAAACAAAGAAAAGAAATGAAGAAAAAAGAAAAAAATGAGTGAAAAAAAAAAAAAATAAGCTAATAAAATAAATAAGCAATGAAAAATAAAGAAAGAAAAAGAATACAAACTGAGATGGATTAAAGAAAGAAAGAAAGAAAGAAAGAAACTAAGAAACAAAGAAAGAAATGAAGAAAGAAAGAATGAGTCACGGAAGTGAAAAAAACGGATAGCTAATAAAATAAATAAGCAATGAAAGAAATGAAGAAAGAATACAAACTGAGATGGATTAAAAGAAAGAAAGAAAGAAAGAAACAAAGAAAGAAACAAAGAAAGAAAGAAGAAAGAAACGGAAGTCAAAAAAAAAAACGGATAAAGAAAAAATAAAAAGCAAAAAAAAAAAAGAAAGAAAAGAGATGGAAAAAGAAAAAAAAAACTAAAGAAAAAAAGAAAGAAACTAAGAAACAAAAGAAAGAAATGAAAAAGAAAGAATGAGTCACGGAAGTGAAAAAAACGGATAGAAATAAAATAAATAAGCAATGAAAGAAATGAAAAATGAATGAAGAAAAAGAAAAGAAAGAAAGAAAGAAACTAAGAAAAAAGAAAAGAAATGAAAAAGAAAGAATGAGTCACGGAAGTGAAAAAAAACGGATGAAAGAAATAAAATAAATAAAAGAAAAAGAAAAAAGAAAGAAAAAGAAAGAAAGAAAGAAACTAAGAAACAAAGAAAGAAATGAAGAAAGAAAGAATGAGTCACGGAAGTGAAAAAAACGGATAGCTAATAAAATAAATAAGCAATGAAAGAAAGAAAGAAAGAATACAAACTGAGATGGATTAAAAGAAAGAAAGAAAGAAAGAAAGAAAGAAAGAAAGAAAGAAACTAAGAAACAAAGAAAGAAATGAAGAAAGAAAGAATGAGTCACGGAAGTGAAAAAAACGGATAGCTAATAAAATAAATAAGCAATGAAAGAAATGAAAAGAAAAGAATACAAACTGAGATGGATTAAAAGAAAGAAAAGAAAGAAAAGAAAAAAGAAACTAAAGAAAAGAAAGAAACAAGAAAAAGAAAAGAATGAGTCACGGAAGTGAAAAAAAACGGATAGCTAATAAAATAAATAAGCAATGAAAGAAAGAAAGAAAGAATAAAAACTGAAAGAAAAAAAAAAAGAAAAAAAGAAAAGAAAAAAAGAAAGAAAGAAAAGAATGAGTCACGGAAGTGAAAAAAACGGATAGCTAATAAAATAAATAAGCAATGAAAGAAAGAAAGAAAGAATACAAACTGAGATGGATTAAAAGAAAGAAAGAAAGAAAGAAAGAAAGAAAGAAAGAAAGAAAGAAAGAAACTAAGAAACAAAGAAAGAAATGAAGAAAGAAAGAATGAGTCACGGAAGTGAAAAAAACGGATAGCTAATAAAATAAATAAGCAATGAAAGAAAGAAAGAAAGAATACAAACTGAGATGGATTAAAAGAAAGAAAGAAAGAAAGAAAGAAAGAAAGAAAGAAAGAAAGAAAGAAAGAAACTAAGAAACAAAGAAAGAAATGAAGAAAGAAAGAATGAGTCACGGAAGTGAAAAAAACGGATAGCTAATAAAATAAATAAGCAATGAAAGAAAGAAAGAAAGAATACAAACTGAGATGGATTAAAAGAAAGAAAGAAAGAAAGAAAAAGAAACTAAGAAACAAAGAAAGAAATGAAGAAAGAAAGAATGAGTCACGGAAGTGAAAAAAACGGATAGCTAATAAAATAAATAAGCAATGAAAGAAAGAAAGAAAGAAAGAAAGAAAGAAAGAAACTAAGAAACAAAGAAAGAAATGAAGAAAGAAAGAATGAGTCACTAAGTGAAAAAAAATAATAGCTAATAAAATAAATAAGCAATGAAAGAAATGAAAGAAAGAATACAAACTGAGATGGATTAAAAAAGAAAAAAGAAAATAAGAAACAAAAAGAAAGAAATGAAGAAAGAAAGAATGAGTCACGGAAGTGAAAAAACGGATAAAATAAAATAAAAACAAGCAATGAAAAAAGAAAAGAAAAAGAAACTGAAAAGAAAAAAGAAAGAAAAAAGAAAGAAACAAAGAAAAGAAATAAAGAAAGAAAGAATGAAAAGTCACATGGAAGTGAAAAAAACGGATAGCTAATAAAATAAATAAGCAATGAAAAGAAAATGAAAGAAAAGAATACAAACTGAGATGGATTAAAAAAAAAGAAAGAAAGAAAGAAAAAAAAGAAATAAAGAAAAAAAAGAATGAGTCACGAAAAAAACGGATAATAATAAAAAAAAAAATGAAAGAAAAGAAAGAATAAATAAACTGAGATGGAAAAAAAGAAAGAAAGAAAGAAAGAAAGAAAAAAGAAAAAAAAGAAAAAAGAAAACTAAAATAAAAAAAGAATGAAGAAAGAAAGAATGAAAAAAAAAAAAAAACTAAGCTAAAATAAATAAGCAATGAAAGAAAGAAAGAAAAAAAAAACTGAAGAAAAAAGAAAAAAAGAAAAACAAAAAAAAAAAGAAATAAAAAAGAAAAAGAATGAAACGGAAAGAATGAAAAAAAAAACGGATAGCTAATAAAATAAAATAAGCAATGAAAAAGAAAAGAAAGAAAGAAGAAAAAGAAAAAAGAAAGAAAGAAACAAAAAAAAAAAAAAAAAAACAAAAGAAAAGAAGAAAAGAAATGAAAAACGGAAAAAAAAAAAACGATAAGCATAAAATAAATAAGCAATGAAAGAAATGAAAGAAAGAATACAAACTGAGATGGATTAAAAAAGAAAGAAAGAAAGAAAAAAGAAAAAACAAAAGAAAGAAAGAAAAGAAAGAAAGAATGATCACGGAAAAAAAAACGGAAACTAATAAAATAAATCAAATGAAAAGAAAGAAAAAAACAAACTGAGATAAGAAAAGAAAAAAGAAAGAAGAAAGAAAGAAAGAAAAAAAAAAAGAAAGAAAAAAAAGAAATAGAAAAAAAGAATGAGTCAAAAAAAAACGGATAGAAATAAAATAAATAAGCAATGAAAGAAATGAAGAAAGAATACAAACTGAGATGGATTAAAAGAAAGAAAAAAAGAAAGAAAAAAAAAGAAATAAAGAAAGCAATGAAAGAAAGTGAAAAAAAACGAAGAATAAAATAAATAAGCAATGAAAGAAAAAAGAAAGAAAGAAAAAAGAAAGAAAAAAGAAAGAAACAAAAACAAAGAAAGAAATAAAGAAAGAAAAAGATCCGTCACGGAAGTGAAAAAAACGGATAGTAATAAAATAAAATAAGCAATGAAAAGAAAGAAAGAAAGAATACAAACTGAAAAAAGAAAGAAAAGAAAGAAAGAAACTAAGAAAAAAAGAAAGAAATAAAAAAGAAAGAAAAAGAATGAGTCACGGAAGTGAAAAAAAACGGATAGCTAATAAAATAAATAAGAAATGAGAAAGAAAGAATACAAAGAAAAAAGAAAGAAAGAAATGAAGAAAGAAACAAAAAGAAAAAACAAAAGAAAGAAAGAAAAAAGAATGAGTCACAAAGTGAAAAAACGGATAGCTAATAAAATAAATAAGCAATAAAATAAAGAAAGAAAGAATACAAAACTGAAAGAAAAAAAAAGAAAGAAAGAAAAGAAAGAAAGAAAGAAAAATGAAAGAAAAAGAAATGAAGAAAAAAAAACAGAAGTGAAAAATAAAATAAATAAACAATGAAAGAAAAAGAAGAAAGAAAAAAAAGAAAGAAAGAAAGAAAAAAAATAAAGAAAAGAAAGAAATAAAGAAAGAAAGAATGAAAGAAAAAAAGTGAAAAAAACGGATAAGCTAATAAAATAAATAAGCAAAAAGAAAAAAAGAAACAAACTGAGATGGAAAAAAGAAGAAAGAAAGAAAGAAAGAAAGAAAAAACAAAGAAAAAAGAAATGAAGAAAAGAAAAGGATAAAATAAAAGAAAAGAAAAATAAATAAGAACTAATGAAAGAAAGAAAGAAAGAAAAGAAAGAAAGAAACTAAGAAACAAAGAAAGAAATAAAGAAAGAAAGAATGAGTCACGGAAGTGAAAAAAACGGATAGCTAATAAAATAAATAAGCAATGAAAGAAAGAAAGAAAGAAAGAATACAAACTGAGATGGATTAAAAAAGAAAAAAAAAGAAAAAAAAGAAAAAGAAAGAAAAGAAAGAAAGAAAAAAAAGAGTTAAAAAAAGAAAAAAAATGATAGCTAATAAAATAAAATAAGCAATGAAAAGAAATGAAAAAAAACGAAAGCTAAGAAAAAAAAAGAAACTAAAAACAAAAGAAACAAAGAAATGAAAGAAAGAAAGAATGAGTCAATACAAAAACGGATAGAATAAAATAAATAAAGAATGAAAGAAAGAAAGAAAGAAACTAAAGAAAAAAAAAAAGAAAAAAAGAAAAACAAAAAAAAAAAATGAAATGAAAAGAAAAAAATGAGTCACGGAAGTGAAAAAAAAATAAGCAATAAAATAAATAAGCAATGAAAGAATAAAAGAAAAAAGAAAAGAAAGAAAGAAAAAGAAAAAAAAGAAAAAACTAAGAAACAAAGAAAGAAATGAAGAAAGAAAAGAATGAGTCACGGAAGTGAAAAAAAACGGATAATAATAAAATAAATAAAGCAATGAAAAAGAAAGAAAGAAAGAATACAAACTGAGAATTAAAAAAGAAAGAAAAAAAAAGAAAGAAAAAAAAAGAAAGAAAAAACAAAAGAAAGAAAGAAAGAAAGAAAAGAATGAGTCACGGAAGTGAAAAAACCGGATAGCTAATAAAATAAATAAGCAATGAAAGAAAGAAAGAAAGAAAGAATACAAACTGAGATGGATTAAAAGAAAGAAAGAAAGAAAGAAAGAAACTAAGAAACAAAGAAAGAAATGAAGAAAGAAAGAATGAGTCACGGAAGTGAAAAAAACGGATAGCTAATAAAATAAATAAGCAATGAAAGAAAGAAAGAAAGAATACAAACTGAGATGGATTAAAAGAAAGAAAGAAAGAAAGAAAGAAAAGAAAAAAAACAAAGAAACAAAAGAAATAAAGAAAGAAAGAATGAGTCACGGAAGTGAAAAAAACGGATAGCTAATAAAATAAATAAGCAATGAAAGAAAAGAAAGAAAGAAAAAAAAAAAAAACTAAGAAAGAAAAAAGAAAGAAAGAAAGAAAAAAAGAAAAGAAACTAAAAAAATAAGCAAATGAAAAGAAAAGAAAGAAAAAGAAAGAAGAAAGAAAGTCACAAAGAAAGAAAAGAAAAAACGGATAAAAATAAAATAAATAAGAAATGAAAGAATGAAAAAAAAATAAAAACTGAGATGGATTAAAAAATAAATAAGAAAGAAAAGAAAGAAAGAAAGAAAAAAAGAAACAAAAGAAAGAAATGAAAGAAAGAAAGAAAGAAACGAAAAAAAAAAGGATAAAGAAAGAAATAAATAGTCAATGAAAGAAAAAAAAGAAAAAAATGAATAATAAAATAAAGAAAAAAGAAAAAAGAAAACTGAAAGAAACTAAAAACAAAAACAAAAGAAAAGAAATGAAAGAAAGAAAGAATGAAAAAGTGAAAAAACGGATAAATAATAAAATAAATAAAGAAATGAAAGAAAAAAAAATAAAACAAGATGGATTAAAAGAAAGAAAGAAAAGAAAGAAAAAAAAAAAAGAAACAAAAAAAAGAAATGAAAGAAAAGAAAAAGAGAATGAGTCAATGAAAAAAAACGGATAGCAAAATAAAAAGCAATGAAAGAAAGAAAAGAAAGAATACAAACTGAGATGGATTAAAAGAAAGAAAGAAAGAAAGAAAGAAAGAAACTAAGAAACAAAGAAAGAAAGAAAGAAACAAAGAAAGAAATGAAGAAAGAAAGAATGAGTCACGGAAGTGAAAAAAACGGATAGCTAATAAAATAAATAAGCAATGAAAGAAAGAAAGAAAGAATACAAACTGAGATGGATTAAAAGAAAGAAAAGAAAGAAAGAAACTAAGAAACAAAGAAAAAAAGAAAAAAGAATGAAAAACAAAGAAAAAAACATAGCTAATAAAATAAATAAGCAATGAAAGAAAGAAAGAAAGAATAAAACTGAAATGAAAAGAAAAAAAAAAAAAGAAACAAAGAAAGAAAAAAAAATGAAAAACTGGAATGAGTCAAAAGTGAAAAAAAATAAAAGAAAAAAATAAAATAAATGAAAGAAAAAAGAAAAGAAAAAACTGAGATGGATTAAAAGAAAGAAAGAAAGAAAAGAAAAAAAAACTAAGAAATAAATAAAGAAATGAAGAAAGAAAGAATGAAAACGAATAAAAAAACGGATAGCTAATAAAATAAATAAAAATGAAAGAAAGAAAGAAAAATAGAGAATTAAAAGAAAGAAAGAAAGAAAGAAAGAAACAAAAAACAAAAGAAAAAAATGAAGAAAAAAAGAATGAGTCACGGAAGTGAAAAAAAAACGGATAACTAATAAAATAAATGAAAGAATGAAAGAAATACAAACTGAGATGGAAAAAAAAAAGAAAAAAGAAAAGAAAGAAAAGAAACTAAAAGAAACAAAGAAAGAAATGAAAAAGAAAAATGAGTCAAAGAAAAAAACAGATAGCTAATAAAATAAATAAGCAAAAAAGAAAGAAAGAAAAATAAAACTGAAAAAAGAAAGAAAAGAAAGAAACAAAAAGAAAAAAGAAATGAAAGAAAAAAGAATGAGTCAAAGAAGTGAAAAAAACGGATAGCTAATAAAATAAATAAGCAATGAAAGAAAGAAAAAAGAAAGAATACAAACTGAGATGGATTAAAAAGAAAGAAAGAAAAAAGAAAGAAACAAAATCAAGAAACAAAAGAAAAGAAATGAAGAAAGAAAGAATGAGTCACGGAAGTGAAAAAAACGGATAACTAATAAAATAAATAAAATGAAATAAAAGAAATGAAAGAAAGAATACAAACTGAGATGGATTAAAAAGAAAGAAAGAAAAGAAAGAAAAACTAAAGAAAAAAAGAAAAGAAAAGAAAGAAAATGAAAAAGAAAAATGAAACAAAGTGAAAAAAAACGGATAACTAAAAAAAAATAAAATGAAAGAAAGAAAGAAAGAATACAAACTGAAATTAAAAAAAAGAAAGAAAAAAGAAAAAGAAAAGAAAGAAAAAAATAAGAAACTAAACAAAAGAAAAATGAAAGAAAAGAAAAGAATGAGTCACGAAAGTGAAAAAAAAACGGATAGAATAAAATAAATAAGCAAAAAAAAAAAAAAAAGAAAGAAAGAAAAGAAAAAAGAAACTGAGAAACAAAAAAAGAAAAAGAAAGAAAGAATGAGTCAAGGAAAGAAAAAACGGATAGCTAATAAAATAAATAAGCAATGAAAAAAAAAGAAAGAAAGAAGATGGAAAAAGAAAAAAAGGAAGAAGAAAGAAAAAATAAATAAGAAAGAAAAAAGAAAGAAAGAAAAAAAAAACGGAAACTAATAAAATAAATAAGCAATGAAAGAAAAGAAAAAAAAGAATAAAAAAAAGAAAGAAAGAAAGAAAAAAAAAAAGAAAGCTAAATGAAAAATGAAAAAATAAAAGAGTCACGGAAGTGAAAAAAAAACGGAAGCTAATAAAATAAATAAGCAATGAAAGAAAAAAGAAAGAAAACTGAAATGAAAAAAAGAAAAAGAAAACAAAGAAAAAAGAAAGAAAAAAGAAAAAAAACAAAGAAATGAAAAAAAGAAAAAGAATGAAAAAACAAGTGAAAAAAAAGAAATAAAATAAGCAATGAAAAAAAAAGAAAGAAAGAAAGAAAAGAAGAAAAAAAAAAGAAAGAAACTAAAAAAAGAAAGAAAAATGAAGAAAAAAGAATGAGTCACTAAGTGAAAAAAAAAAAAATAAAATAAATAAGAATAAAAAGAAAGAAAGAATAAAAAATGGAAAAAAAAAAAAAAAAGAAAGAAAGAAAAAAAAAGAAACAAAGAAAGAAAGAAAGAAAGAAGAATGAATCACAAAGTGAAAAAAAACGGATAGCTAAAAAAAATAAATGAAAAAAGAAAAAAAGAAAGAAAACTGAGAAAAAGAAAAAGAAAGAAAGAAAGAAAGAAACTAAGAAACTAAAAAGAAAGAAATGAAGAAAGAAAAAGAATGAGTCACGGAAGTGAAAAAAAAAAACGGATAAAATAAAATAAATAAGCAATGAAAAAAGAAAGAAAGAAAAATACAAACTGAGATGGATTAAAAAAAGAAAGAAAAGAAAGAAAGAAAGAAAGAAAAAAACTAAGAAAAAAAAAAAGAAATGAAGAAAGAAAGAATGAGTCACGGAAGTGAAAAAAACGGATAAATAAAATAAATAAGCAATGAAAAAAGAAAGAAAGAATACAAACTGAGATGGATTAAAAGAAAAGAAAGAAAAGAAAAAAGAAAAGAAAGAAACTAAAAACAAAGAAAGAAATGAAAAAGAAAGAAAGAATGAGTCACGGAAGTGAAAAAAACGGATAGCTAATAAAATAAATAAGCAATGAAAAAAAGAAAGAAAGAAAGAAAACAAACTGAAGATGGATTAAAAAAAAAGAAAGAAAAAGAAAAGAAAGAAACTAAGAAACAAAAAAAAAAAATGAAATGAAAGAAAGAATGAGTCACGTAAGTGAAAAAAACGGACAGCTAAAAATAAATAAGCTAATAAAATAAATAAAAAGCAATGAAAAAAGAAAAAAGAAAGAAAAGAAAAGAAAAAAGAAAAGAATGAACACGGAAAGAAAAAAACGGACAATAAAAAAAAAAATAAAATGAAAGAAAGAAAAATGAAAGAAAAATGAAAGAAAGAAAAAAAGAAAAAACTAAACAAAAAAAAGAAAGAAATGAAAGAAAGAAAGAAAGAAAAAAGAAAAAAACGGATAGCTAATAAAATAAATAAGCAATGAAAGAAAGAAAAAAAGAAAGAAAAGAAAAAAGAAAAGAAAATAATAAAAAAAAAAAAAAGAAAAAGAAAGAAAAAAGAAAAGAATGACAAAAAAAAACGATGGAATAAAATAAAAAGAAAGAAAGAAAAAAGAAAGAAACTGAAATGAAAAAAAAGAAAAACAAAAGAAAGAAATGAAGAAAGAAAAAAAAGAAATGAAGAAAGAAAAAAGAATGAAAAAAAAAAAACGGATAGCTAATAAAATAAATAAGCAATGAAAAGAAAAAAAAGAAAAAAAAAGAAAGAAAGAATACAAACTGAGATGGATTAAAAGAAAGAAAGAAAGAAAGAAAGAAAGAAAGAAAGAAAGAAAGAAATAAAATTTTGAATAATGCCAATCTATGAAAGTAAAAAAGAAATGTTTTGGATAGTGAAGACCAAACAAAGAATGGAAGGAAGAATATGCAAAGAGAAATCAAGAAATGAAATACAAAATGTAAATAGCTTCATTGAAATAGAAAGAAAGAAAAAATTAAAAAAGAAAGAAAGAAAAAGTATACCAGTAGAAAGAAAGAGGAACACCGTGATTTTTCACTGTTTTTCCCTTTCTTGTTTTCTTTTTCTTTTTTCTTTTTACTTTAAAAGAAATAGAAGACGGGAAGAGAGAATATAGAAAAAAGAAATATGAATAAAGGAGAAAAAGAAAAGGATAAAAATGACGAAAGTCAACTGCAAATGAAAGAAATAAAAAAAAAATAACAGAAAGTATACGAGAAATGAAAAGTAAAGGAAAGACACAGAATAAAGAAACAGAAGCAGAATAACAGAATGAATAAAGAAACGGAAAATAAAAGAAAGAATGATGGAATGGGAGAATAAACAAAAAGGAATGAAAGAATAAAAGAATGACAGAAGGAAAACACGCACAGAATGATTGCATAACAAAGAATTAACGAAAGAAAAAAATGTAGCTAAAGAAAGCATAGTAAGAATCAAAACAACAAAGAAAGAGAATAAATATATTGAGGTGAGAATATTGGTTAACAAACCGACCAACAACCACAGAGACGGACACACGAACAGATTCAGATAGACAGATAGACAAAGAGAAAGAAAGTATAAGCCTGGAAAGAAAATATAAGGAAAAAAAAAAAAAAAAAATTATATATGCAACCTCGAGCAAGTGGCAATGCAAGTGAACTTCTTAAATAATATAAAAAAAGTCTTATAATATGATTCAATGTCATTTCTTTTTTTCCTCACACTCTTCCTCTTTTTATATATATATATATATATATATATATATATATATATATATATATATATATATATATGTTGTGGTAGGATACCTAATTTGCACCATATAAATATGGTTGGTACCGGGAGAAAACGAGGGGAGGAATCAAGCGATTCAATCCAGAGACTCTGCCCGACTGCGACTAAGTCAACACATTCTCCAGGAACGGTCTTCCCAAGAATATAAAAAAGACTATATTTAAATATTGTGTACATTTCTTGTTTCAATACATTTTGTTCTAAGTAAATTTTATGTTGTATTATTATTCCATGCATTAGTCAAGTTTCAACAATATATATATATATATATATATATATATAATCTTTATATAATCTTTTTAAAATAAAACTTTCAAAGTAAAAAAAAATAACAGCGTCTGTTTCTAACGTTTTTTTTACAAAGAAAGTTAGTGACACTTTCTCTCATAACTTCCTTAACTGTTTTTCTCTCTATGGGTTTGTTCTTCTCTACCCCTTTGATATCAATATATAACTTCCGTTAAGTTAACCGTTTAAATGTGTCAATATCTGCTAACTCACTCATGTCTTCTTTCCTCCCACTCACTTCCTCACTTCCTTAATTTACATATGTTTAATACGGCCCGTCAAAAATGTGTAAATTTTCTTTTCATTTTTGTTTGGAAGTAAAGTCTGATGATCCGCACTCCTTTTAAAAGGGCTGTGGTGAAATACTTTATTACATAGAACCTTAAAGTGGTCTGTTTTTATTTAAAATATCTATCTATCTATCTATCTATCTATCTATATATATATATATATATATGGTAAAAACATAGCCTATATTTAAGTTATACTATATGTATGAGTTAAAATATTCAATATCAAGGATAGAGCATATGTGAATATAAATAAGGAAGTTGAAGTCACCACCCAGCATGTTCCATGCATATACGCAATCGTCAGGCGCGAAAGAAGGAAACAGACTGCCATGTTTTGTTATTGATTTCAGTGTCCACACACACACACACACACACACACACACACACACACACACATATATATATATATATATATATATATATATATATATATATATATATATATATATATATATGTCTGTTTGTGTGGTCGGGTATTTGTATTAAAGCATTGAATAGCAGCGAAGAAAACATCAATTCTAAAAACGAACCTTTAAGCCAATACTCCGTTAGAAATCAATGGATGGTGAAAACAGTTCGGAATCTCCTGCAAATCTTCTGCACTATCTCCTTGCGAGGGGTAGCTAATTGATTTGAGCCTTTTAAAACCCTTTATTCTACATTCAACATCCTCACTTGATAAGAGACCAGAGATGTGGAAACAAAATAGCTATTTTTGTAGTGATTTTATAACATATTTATGTTAGAATTTTCGAATAAATAATTATATTCGCACTACTCTGTATTGAGCACTCCTTTAAGAATAGTAATTGTTGGTTATTGGAATTTATTCTGTATACACCAATCCTATACTTGGTTATATACACACACGTATATATATATATATATATATATATATATATATATATATATATATATATATATATATTTATTAAGCATTCCATCCAAGCAATCAATCGGGAGTGCCAGTAGCACGTGGAGTAGGGAAGAGAGTGAAAGTGAGGGAAAATACTGTGTATAATGGTGATTAAGGAAAGGACATAAGAAGAAGGGGAATTACACAAACAGAATATAGCGATTGACATTGCATTCAAATTTTTGAAGATTATAGTTATCAGGGAAGCTAGTAAGAGGAAGGGAGTTCTACTGTCGGGAAGCGCGAGAAAAGAAACTGCTTGAGTAGAAGTAGCGATTGCATTTAACTATATCAACAGTAAAAGGGTGGTATCTAGATTCATATAGTCGGGTCATCAGGGAATATAGTTCATCAGGACAGTTGCCATGAAAATATTTGTAGAAAAGACAGAGGGGAGTCACATCAAGTCTGTGAGAAAGTGACTGAAGTCGAGATGCGAAGAGGGGAGCGATTACATTACTTTGGATTTTGTCGACTACCTCGCGATGAACACCAGGGCACCAAACCAGATATGGCAACAATAATCAATGTATGGGCGAAATGTAGATTTGTAGGTGTCTAAGATAACCTCTGACGAGAAAAAACATTCTGGTAAGATACAGTGAATCGACATGCCTTGCAAAAGATGGAGATATTGATTCAATGTAGTTTTTCCACCTTCAGGTCAATGGAAAATGTGAAGACGAGAAAGCGCAATGAGACACTCTCACGGAGTCGAACATCAATATCTCTATATATAAATATAAAAGTAAACATTGAAGTCAACACTCAGATTTAACACACGGTTTCATACTAGACGCAATCATCAGGCCACATATGTTGATTTTTTTCTAGACTATTTATATATATATGGGTCATTGGTGCATTGTGAACAGTCCATTCTAACGGTTATTTTGGCGGGAGTGTTTTGTTTATTTATCTATTTGAATTAGTTTCTTTTTATTGTTTTCAATTATTTATTTTTATTTTATATATACATTTAGACTTATCAGTTTTCGATATTTTAGTAACCTAGTAAAATAAAAATTTAAGTAAAGTTTCGAACGTTTATTGAATAGTTTGATTTAGTCTGGGAAGGTAATTAAAGCTATTTTTTCCGTCCAGTTTTTGGATTGGTTGTTGTAGTCTATTCTATCTGTTATATTGGTGGGAGTGGTTTGTAAATGTGTTTATTATTTTATTTATTTATTTGGCTTGATTATTTTTACTTGCTTTTGCTTATTTATTTTATTTTTATTTATTCTAACTGTTATTTTGTCGGGAGAGGTTTCTTAATTTGTTTATTTATTTATTTCATGGATTAATTTATTTATTTGTTCTTATTTATTTTTATTTTATATATTTTTATTTAATCTTTTCGTTTTCGATTTTTAAATAACGTAGTAAAATTTTTTTTAGATAAGTTCTGATCGTTTATATATCAGTCCGTTATGGTCTGAGAAGGTAATTATAGCTATTTTCTCGTCCAATTTTTGGATTGATTCTTGTAGTCTGTTCTAACGATTATTTTGGTTTATTAATTCGTTTATTATTTACTTTATTTATTTTTTACTTGTATTTTATTATCTAATTTTTTATTTACTCCTTTTCGTCTATTCTAACGGCTGATATGGCGGGATGATTTGTTAATTTGTTTATTATTTGCTTGAATTTATTTATTTTACATGTTTTTTTTTACTTTTATTTTGTTTATTTTTATTTATTCTTTTCAGTATTCGATTTTTAAATAACGTGGTAAAAAATTCTTTTCATGCCTGCATTTTGAGATGAGTTCAGATCGTCTATATAGTAGTTTGTTTTGGTCTGGGAAATATATATATATATATATATATATATATATATATATAATATATATATATATATATATCCTGAACAAATCGACATTGCGTAACGGTTAGCTTGTTTGTCTCGCTAGAGCAAATACGACTGAGTAGTGAGTTCAGACCTCACCAGGTGCCTCATAATTTCAACGAAATTTAGAAAATCGCCATGCGTAATAAGAAAAAGGAAATTATGATGTGGATATTAAATGGTGGATCTCTCCTTTTGTGACCACGATAGTTTCTCTTCATTGGGATTCTAGAGAAGGTAAATTAATCTAAAATAAATGCCCTTGTGTAGCCAATCAGTATTTGACTGGTTGATTTGACTCCTACGACTTATCAACCGTAATAATTGTTTTTGGCCGGGGAGGAGATAATAAAGTTTTAGTTATATAATCTTACAAATTAACCCATAGCTAGGAGGGGAGGAGATGGATTCGTACATTTTCCAACGGTATTTCCACGAAAGTGAATATAACGAACCCAACTGGAATTGTAACTCGGTTCTTCGATTAAAGAATTTCGAATCATTATCCATTACACTATCCGCACATCTGAGCTTACAGCACCTGTTATTCCCAAGCGGTCACTCATCTAGGTATTGGCTCGGCTAGATGTTGCTTAAGTTTTCTGATCGCATGGGAACAGCTGTTTTTCGTGTGTGGTTTGGCCGTAGGCCCAAGAAGAAAACACAAATTGAAATATGGATGGAAAGATGGTCCAAAAACTGTTTATAACGCACTATATATATTTAGTGAGTTTCCGCTTGATAAACTGTTTTCCTTAACCAATCAATTTCTTTCTCCCACGAACAGTATAAAGGGCGTTAAAAAAAAGTACTTTCACTGACTTTTGTCGATCGACAAAGTGATATTTATTCATTTTTCAAGCCAGGTCTTCGACAATAAATTGGTGTACTTTATCGAAAACGTCGACAAGAGACTAAATATAAATGAAAAAAAAATACTATTGACAAAGTCGTTTTCTAATAGTAACTCTCGCCGTGTATTTTTACCACGCGTGCCTGAAGTGAAATGATTATATTGAATCAATTGCTAGGTCTGCTGCAAGGACAGTTGGTTTATTGTCTCGTACTATAAATTTTTTCTAGTCAGACGCTATTTCGCATAATTTTAAGTCTGCCATTCTTCCGTGCATTGAATATCGCTGCTATATCTGGTGTTTCTGTTAGGATGCGGCAGAAATAGCTCCCACGTATTGGTAAGACATCAGCTAACTGAAAACACCAATGCCACAAATGTCTTACCATTATGTGGCAGGTATTTCTGGAATGTAGAGTGTTATGTTAAGGGTTAGATTATATGAACAGACAGGGAAGATAACGGTTGACGCTAGAGTTAAACAGTTTATGACTGTAGTGATTGTGGAAACATCCATTGGGAGTCTGTTCCAAACGGCAGTGGTTCAAGAGAAGAAGCTGTTTGAGTGGAACATACTTCCCGCCAGTCGAATACAGAGGAAGTGTGGGTGGTTTGCTATTAACTGCAGAATATATGTCTAGATGCAATGTTTTGTGACAAGATTGAAATGTAATTTTCTTGAGTGTGGGTTGCTTTGTTTTAATAACGATGGTCTTCAATATCTGATTTTTTTTACTGTCTCTATGTGTGAGCATTGTTCGGTTATCAACTAATATCTGTCTAACATTATGTACATGACTATGTTTTTTTCCCAATAAAAGAACAAGGAATACCATATTAAAAAAATATACAAATGTTTGTCTTTATTATCTCCCGAAATTAAAGCAACTATACAAAGTTTAGAATGGCTCATGATCAAATATTCGTTGTCTGTTATATTTTTACCAATATATTTTTGAATAATGATCTGCTGCTCCAATATACTAAATTCACATTACATGATGCGACAAGATTAAACGATTCCCAACAACAAGAAATTTCAATGGAACTTCATTAAAGAACAAATAATTACAGACAAATAGGAATTACAACGGCTCAACACTGAAATTTTTCGGATGAAAGAAATCTTACGATATTCGATCACAACTGAAAAATTCAAGAAAATATTGGATTTCTTATACAATACAGCACAAAAGGAAAATGAATCCCATAAACAAATCACCCCACAAAAAAAGCGAAACAAATTATATGAAGGAAAAATAATTTTACCAAAAATAAACAACTTCATTAACCAACTCAGTCCAAATGAAACAGTCGCACTGAAACCTAATTTAATATTTAAGCAAACGCAAATAGAAGCTTTATGCGAACAAATGCTTCTATTAGAACAAGACCACCATATTACTACACATTATGGGTGCGCGTGTGTGTGTGTATGCGCGCGCGTGTGTGTGTGTGTGTTCGTGAGTGTATGTTCGTGTGTGTGTGAGTGTGTGTATGTGTACGTGTAAACCGAAAGCTTAGATCAAAAAAACAGCATAATAAAAAAATATCCAAATGTTGGACAATTTTTATCTTTATTTTCTCCCGAAATTAAAGTAACTATACGAAGTTTACAACGGCTCATCATCAAACATAATAGACATTGAATAATGATCTACTGCCCCAATACACTATATATATATATATATATATATATATATATATATATATATATATATATATATATATGGAGAGAGAGAGAGAGAGATAGATAGATAGATAGATGTAATTAATAATCAAATATATCATATATATATATATATATATATATATATATATATATATATATATATATATATAAAGTAAACATAATAGTCAACATTTAGAGGCTACAGTCTGTTTGATGCTAGATGCAATCGTCAGGACACTCGTAACCTGAATTTTACATCTAGCATGAAACAGACTGTCGCTCTATGTTGACTTATGTTCATTATATATATATATATATATATATATAAAGTGAACATTAAAGTCAACACTTAGAGGCAACAGGTGGCCTGATGATTGCGTCTAGCATGAAACAGACTGTCGACTCTAAGTATTGTCTTCAATGTTCAATTTTATATTTACACACGTTCTATCTCTGATATTGAGCACTTTATCCCATAAATATAGCACATCTTAAGACTATATATATATATATATATATATATATATATATATATATATATATATATATGGATCTAGCATTCAAGATTACGAGTTACAATTATTATTTTTTTCTTCACACCGTATGCACATATTTTCTTTTGAAAGTGCCTGAAAACAAGGTGGACTCAAAATCATCGTGACCGAGAGTATGATCCTGCTGGCCTTCTTCAGCTTGTTGATCACGCTAGACAACACATTTCTCTCGCAGAAACTGTCAATAAGCATAGTTGCCGTATAAACCACAGGTAGGCTCGGTGGGTAGTGAGCAACCACAAAATGCGTAAAAAATAGAGATTAGTGTTGTAGAGTAAACGAATAGTATTTTTTTTTTTTTTTAGTGGAGGCTTTAATTTACTAAGTCAGTCCTAAAAGGGTCCGACGTACAAAACGTTAGGAACTTGAAATAATAGTTAATGACGCAGCAATCTAGTTGTGGTGGTTGATACTTTAATATCCGACATCGACTGACTCACTCAACTCCACTGAGCCCGACTGGCGACCGCTACTACTACTACTACTTATTATGTGTGGGAGAGTCTATTACAATAGAATAGGTAATGTTGCGGTATAACAATTAGCTAGCCGCCCTAGTAGACAGGTATCCTAGAATACGAGGGAGGCAGACTCCAACGATTAATTTATATTTACTTATTATTTGTAAGGGGCATCTTGCATATTTACTTTATTAATGTTTCATTTAATACAAGACGCAAGAGCCACTCAAGAAAGAGGGTTGGTTACTGAATGAAATTTTGTGAGCGCCAGAGGAAGGTGTAAAAGGTATAGATGGAATATCTCTTACGATTCGTGTCTATGTCAGGACCCAATCAAGAGACAGGAAATAGTGTCTTGACGAGTTCGTCACAGGGCAGAGAAAATCGTGAAACATATGGGCGAGAAAATAGTCAGGAAATGACTGAGATAAATAGACACAAAAGCAAATAGATAGATATGAAATGACTGACATATATATATATATATATATATATATATATATATACTATCAGTAGAGCCCGGCGTTGCCCGGGGATGTAACAGTAAGAGATAGATCAAGTATCGACCATCATAAAGACTGAAAAATAAAATTGACAAAGATTATTGTTTAAGGTTGACGGACACACATGTCTTGATTATTTTTTTTTATTTTTTTTTTTTTTACGAATTGGTCAAACCCAAACTCAAACAAAAACATTGTTTTCAATCGTTATGAGTCTACCGATTGAATAGAATTTTATTATAAACAATTGTTTTTTGTAATTGGAATTTTTAAAGCATTCTGAATGTAAAAATAAAAGAAAAAATTGTACAAGACAATAAAAACACTACCTGCCAAAAAAGTGAAGAAGTTGTTGAAATCGGTTCAAAAATGTAGGAAATCCGATCCCATATATAAAAAGAACACACACACACACACACACACACACACACACACACACACACACACACACACATGCGCGCGCGCGCGCACACACACAAAAAAAAAACAACCTGGGATCTATAACAAGTATAACTCGATATGAGTTGTCCCCCTTTCATTCTGGCGACTTAATCGTGTTTTCAAATTGATTTCGTACAAAAACAATTGTGTTTTTCCAATTTTTGGCGATGTCAGTACCACCGCAAGGTAATTTTACGTAGTCCTGTGAAGTTTTGTTGAAATCGTTTGAAAAATGTAGGAAATCCGATCCAATATATAAACGAACAGACACACAACCTGGGTTTTATGATACAGATAGATAGATAGGCTCAGACAGACATACATATGAATAAACTTAATAGATAAACTTATATATATATGTGTGTGTGTGTACGTGTGTGTGTGTAGATAGATATGGACAAAGGACTGAGATAGATAGATATAGAGAGATGTATAGAGAGAGAGGAACAAAGGACTGAGATAGAGAGAAGATAGAGGGACAAATGACTGAGATAGATAGATAGATTTCTGTTTTTTATTGCCTTTTCTCCTAAATTAAAATTTTCTCGTTCTCGTTTTCGTTCTCGTTCCTCCCTAGTAACTCCAGGTGTTTTAATGGCATCAACGCCTTGCGTGGGGCGAAATAATAATAAAATAGATAGATAGATAGATAGATAGATAGATAGATAGATAGATAGATAGAGAAAGAGAGAGAGAGAGAGCGATAAATCACTGAGATAGATAGATAGATAGATAGATAAAGAGAGAGAGAGCGATAAATCACTGAGATAGATAGATAGATAGATAGATAGATAGATATACCGTTCTATATAATACAACTTGAGTCTTTTTAAAGGTACATCCTTGAATATACGACCCGGTCTTTTACCATATTATTCATTAAAATCTCAGTTTTGTACGTTTAAGTAATTTTTTTTTACGAAAAATAGTAATGTTCAGAGTATTTAGTCTTTGCGTGTTTCTTCTCCTAATTTCTTTTTCCAGAGTTGTTTTCGAATTTTCGTGGAAAGGTGTGAACTCGACCAACATGATAATTCATTTCCAGGTGTTAATTAATATATCATAATTTTCTGTTTGATATGACATTAGTATAGTTCTATATATTAATAAACTATAAAAGTAAAAAAATAATTGTCTTTCATTAATAATGAAGAGAGAAACAAATGTCGTCGACATATCAAATAACTTTTGTAAACAATTGTTATCAACACCTGCCTATTTCTGTTTAATCATCTATTGTGCTGAGTGTCTTCGCATTCTTGCAGTTTTTTAAGCAAAGCGAAAATGTCTGAAATCGTGTAGGTATATATAATATGACCCCTAATATGATGAGAAACAATAAACATAAACAGGTACATAGATAGATAGATAGATAGATAGATAGATAGATAGATAGATAAAGAACGTACATAGATAGATAGATAAATAATGTACAACAATAGATAGATAGATAGATAGATAGATAGATAGATAGATAGATAGATAGTCAAAGAACGTACATAGATAGATGGATAGGTAAAGAATGTACATAGATAGATAAATCGATAGATACAT